AAAGACCAAAAAAGGACATGGTTGGTCTCAGAAATAATTTCTTATGCTAAGGCTTATTTTAATATCCCCTGTGAGCACCTATAATAACAACAGATTTACCTGCACTTATTCTGATAGTAGGACACAGATGTTAGAATCCACAATAAGCAGACTTGAGAGAAATATTAAAGATCTGTGAAGAGTATTACTGTTCTGGAGACAGTTGTTCCACTGCTTCCATGAGATGAACACTTCCAGAATTGCTTGTGGAAGTAGTACACATGGCCAAATACAGAATTGACATCAAGGTTTGCCCCACTTACTCACCAAAACCCCTCCACACTTAGAAATTGTTTATTTCTGACACACTGTTACTTTTCTTCCTCTATTCACGGGCTTTGGAGATATGTAATGGCCAGTGATTTAGTCAATGAATGTGTAATCTCAAAAGTCTACATTTTCAAGTAAAGATATTAGCCTTTCACTGAATACAACAATTTTAACACTTGTAAAAAAAATAAAAAAAAAAAAAAAAAAAAAAACCATAACTGCTACCTTTAATAATAAAACTTGCTGTTCCCTGGGTGAGATACTTCAAGAAGTCTTTCAATCTTCAACAGCAATCTACCCAAACACGATTAGAAACGAACCAAAGATGTTATATTCTCCTTATTCTCTCTCATCTTCTAAACTACATTACATTTTCCTTTTTTTCCACTATGAAATTCTCCCTGGTTGTAAAAGCAAAGCAGAAAATTACAGAAATATAACCTTTAAGTAATTTTACTTTAAAGAAATAAATATTTCTATGAAATTTGACTGCATATTTTATGTTCAATAATCTTTTCTTACACATTACTTTCTCCAAAATATTCGTCTTAAAACTTTACTGACTTAGGAAAAAAAAATGAAGAAAAATGAGAGTCACTCGTGGAGAAGTTAGCTAACACTCAACATTAGCTAAGGAAAAACAAATGCAACTCTTCAAGAAGTAATGTATATATATATATATATATATTATTTAATGTAGCACATGATTAATGAGCTGCCATAATCAATGAATGCCTTAAGGCATGTTTTCATAAACATGTTCAGATGAGCCTTAAGAGATGAATGAATGGCATGTCCTGCCAGATCTGCTGTCACAATTTCCTTCTGTTATACCTGGGGGACTTAAAGGATCTCAATGATGTTTTTAATAGCTCTTCTCGTTAATCAAATCCTGCCTTATTCTGTGCAAGTGCCATTACAAAGAAGCACATGATACTAACTCAAGTATTCAAATTAAGTAGATTTTACAGTTACGTCAAGTTTCCCAAGTGAAGGGAAGTTAGTTGCTAAACAGAGATGCAGTCATCTCCCAGAGAACTGATCTACAGGGCACATTATGCAGTAACTTCATACCATAGGCAAATCCAAGTTAGTTGGCTAAGAACAGTAGGGAATAGAAAACACAGAAAAGCTTGCATTAGCCCAATTAATAATTCTCAATTATCTTTGTAAACGGGAAACCTGTCAGCTCTGGGTACAATATACCACACCAATCATTATGCTTTCATGTGTGCTTACTCAAGAAAGATATGACAACTCAACATCGTTAAACTTGGACAGACCACTAAGATCACCTAGTCCAACCATCAACCCATACATGACTGCTTTAGACCATGTCACTCAGTGAGACATCCACCCTTGGACAACTCCAGGGATGCCAATTCCATCACCTCTTTGGGAGCTCATTCCAACACCTCACAGCTCTTTCTGAGAATAAGCTTTTCCTATTATCCAATCTGAACTTCCCCTGGTGCAACTTGAGGCCATTCCTTCTCATCCTATCACTGTTATTTGGGAGAGGAGACCGACCCCTACATCACCACAACCTCCTCTCAGGATGTTGTAGAGAGCAATGTAATCTGGACAATAGGAAGCTTAGGGGAGACTAAACGGCTCCAGATGCCTCAACCACTTCTTGTAAGACTCGCGTCCCAGACTCTTTACAGCTTCATTGCTGTTCTTTGGACAAGCTCCAAACTCAACTGAATTTGCAGGGATTTCTGCACAAGCAGTCTAACAGTACAAGAAAATATTTTGAAAAAGAAGTGCATTGTCCATTGTGCTCCAAGAATGCTAAGAGAATCTTTGCTTAATTTTTATAATAACAGATTTGCATTGACATTTGCTCTGAATTGAGCCCCTGAGTTTACTTGCATCTCACCATACATAAACACAAATTAGTTTTGTCTCCACACCTGGAGAACTGTCAAGGTTTGTACAGACATTCAGAGCCTGAAAAAAAAAAATCAGATAAGACTTTTGAAAACAGCAGGTACCTATTTGCTTCCTTTCTTGTCAGCATAAACTCTCAGTAAGGGAGCAAACAGCAAGCATCCTGTTCTAACAAGCAGAAAGAAAAAAAAAAAAAAAAAGGAAGAGAAAGCAATCTGTGCTAAGAGATGCTCTGGTAAAAACAAAACTAATCGTGGCTTCCCCGACTCCTGAGCTATTGCATCTGAACCACAGAGATAGAAGACACTGCCCACTGCTCTCTAATATCTTAAATTATTTAAATTATGAACTCCTGAAACTTGGCACATGCTGAGGTTACTGTTCAAGTTTAAACAACTGAGGAGAAAGACAATCACAGCTAAGAGTCATACCATGCTGATCCCTCTGTCTCTGCTGAAAAAAAGAAGTGGTAACGGCGTAGCAGAGAAGCTGTCCCAGCTTCTTTAATGGCCACCTTGGAATATTCATCACTAACACCAGCCTCAAATACTGACTAGCAAATAAGAAACAAAGTCCTACCTTCTTCCATGTTTCTTGTCAGTGTTGTCATGAACTGAGCTTTCTACTATCTGAACAAAAAGCTGTAAATTTTTCCATAATGATCATACAGAATCAAATTTTCATCTTGTTTTTGTTTGTCTGACCACATTTTCATTCCATACTCCTGTTCATTAGGTAAAATTGTTTGTCCATCTTATTTTCTACCACAATATTTTCATAAATCTGAAGAGTTTTGGCTACAAACTAGATTTTCTGGTTTTCAACTGCAAGAAATACCTTTCATAACTACTTTCCCATCTTGGTATTCTCACATTTTCAAAGCATTAAAAAAAAAAAAAAAAAAAAAAAAGACTAGCAATAAGTGAAGATAATTTTCAGTTCCCTGCAGAAGAGCAATATGAAATTATGTTGCTTTCACTGAGTTCTTAAATACACAGTCCACAACTCGAGTGATTTTTTGCTTGATTGGTCATTTAAAGCAAGTAATGTAACATGAAGGGTCGATTTGCATAATGACTTCAGAACTGAAACAGTTACTTTAAGGTAACCTAAAGCAAATCCTGAAGAATGATCATAAGGAACTGAAGCATTTATTCATACAAAGCACAGCACTGGGAAAACTCAATACAATAACTATAGTTCTGAAATGTATGCCAGGAATGGAAAATTTGAATCTACTAATCTGACAGCTACTTCTGCAATTTAGCCACCATTTAAGAACGTTTATTAAACAGCAAAGTCTCTTTCTATAAACTAAGGAGAATATTTGATTTTTGAGGTAATAAATAATAGAGGACAGGAGAATCACTTGTCTTTCATTTTTTAGCAAATTTGCAGAGACAAACTTTACCAGAAGTGTTTTTGTAATAATACGTACAGTATAGTTCATAATTCATTACAATGCAAGGAAATGCATATCTAAGTTTACAGCAAGAATTGGGTTCAGTGTTACTGAATAACTGCCATGACAGCGACAAAATAGCTTGTCGTATGCATGCATATATTTCTTTGCAAAAATGAAGTATTTGTCACATTGTGATAACCAGCTGTGCAAAAGTCCCAACAGTGTTTTCTATAATTCTGTGAATGGAAAGTGAAGGACTGACAGCATTAAATCAGGCAATTTCTAGCTCCTAATATTCATGCAATTTCTCTGAATTGACCTCTGTTCCTGTCTCACATGCATGAGGGCAACACTTATACCAAGCATGGTTGTCAAATTGAGAAACCAAGGATCTCATAGAATAAAATGAGACGAGGCCAAAAGGTAAGCCCTTCTCTTACTCAAGGATTTTGAGTGAATCCTTGTTTACAAATTCACTCACACTAATGTTACACACATATGCAACAGAAGCTTTCATTTTTGGCAAGGGAGAAGCAATGCTTGCAGTCTGAAAAGAGAAGAGATAGACCATCACAGTTTCCCTCTACATTCACATATGCCAAGTGACTTGGAACTTCCAGTGAGAGTTTCAGCCTGCTCCCCAGGGAACTGTTTTAACTGATGGAGGGGCGCTTCAGTCCGAAGACTTCTAAGAGCACAATTCCCAGGACCTCTTTCAGCTCCTGGAGCCCACCAGCGCAACAGTTGCTCATTGTTCACAAGCAGTTCAGGCTAGTTTTGCATATTATACTAGATAACAAAAATCTCTAAATCGTATATGTGAAGCATTACATTGCCAGAACCATTATGGATGCATTAGGATGTAGAGGTAGTTAATACCATATCATCAAGAGACTGGGATACATTTACTAACAGATGCCAGTGAGCCATCACTGGAATGAATACAACTGTGCTACTCTATCCAACTGATTGGAAAGGTCATACACATTTTGCTTTCAGCATGATCATATTTAGTCTGATCATATTTAATAAGAAAGCAAAAGCCTTTTGTCACTTATGGTTGTGCTTCACTCAGATTCAACTCTACTGCACACAAACACATGCTATCCAGAAGACATGCGTGTGTGAATGTTTTGGTTTTTTTTTTTTTTTTTTTTATACCCATCACATAAAAAAAAAAAAAAAAAAAAAAAAAAAAAAACAGAGTTACAGATATCGCATGTTGAACTTTCTAAAGCTAACATCAAAAACCACTAAAACCTCAAGTTTTGTTTCTGTTCCATGCGCCTGGGTACAGGAAATCCACAGTTTGGAGCCAAACAGGAAACAGCGTTGTATAAAACACAACGAGCTGCACAGCATCACACACCTCAGCATCTGAGATAATTAAGTGGCTGACAGTAATTGAAAATATCCCCGCTTCTTGCACAGTAAGTACCTTGTATTACTGGTTGATGTATTGTAGCTACTGACACATGACAGAATAATTTGTCTTTTATTCAACTCCAACACTGAATTATTGGAACTTGGAGTTGTCTGTGGCCTAGAGGGAGACATTGTCTCAGAGTTTCATTTGCTGTTATTGAAGGCAAGAGGTTTATAAAAGTTAATGAAATACAGCTAGCTAACAGACTGCAGTCAACGTGAATCTCAGGAAAAAAAAAAAAAAAACCAAAAAAAAAACAAATAGCTGCCTATCTTATTACACAAGGCAGCAAAAATGCATTAGTCTTTCAAAGCTATAACACAATAGAAAATACTTAACATTTTCATTGCAACTTCTGCTTTTGAAGTCAGCTGATTAACAGCATCATCTCTTCTTTATATGGTAAAGGATGCACTGCCATCCTACAGTGTAAGCAAATACACTGAGAGGAATACCATAGAACTCATACCTAAAGAAACTGTTTCAACAATTGATACACTTCAAACTCTTCAGTTGGCTTAGAGATGTTACTGTTACTGGGGAGATGCACTCTTCACCTGACTACATAAAGTGCAAGTCATTTCAGAGGAAAAAAAAAATTGACAATTAATTAGACACTAAGTATAAACTTGTATAATCCTAGTATGAGATCAGAAGCTCTTTAAACAGAAAAATATTAACATTACTTTACGGCTCCATAACAGTTGAACCATCACTGAAAGACTTGCCTGTTTACATGGCTTGGTTATGCATTTTTAAATTAAATCTTGCTAATAATTCGAGAAATTCATGATACTGTTTGCTTTCTGGGATGTAGGAAGAGATTAAATAGCTCTAAAAACATCAGGTCTTCTAAGATGCACTATAACTGATAACGGCTAAATAAATTTCCCTTATTACTAAGAAAAATAATTTTGCAGCAAAATATCCATGAAGTTCTGTATAAATAAGTCTGATATTTTTATTATTATTTTTAAACTGTAACACATTTGTATCAGTATAACTTGAGAAAAAGAGTTGACAATTTTTTCTTTTGAATGAAACAGAAAGAACCACTGACCTTGAAACTTCCCTCTTATTACAGCAGCTCCTCCAGCTTTTTATAAGCCTCCAAGGCTACTATTGTTCTGGAACCAGCTTACAGTGCACATTACAACTGATGTTATTCTGGATGCTGAACTGTTGGCGGAGGTGGGGGTGGGAAGATCAGATAGGCTCCACAATAGTTCCTCCATCCATTCCTACAAAACCATGAAGCCTGTCTTTATGCCATAGAAACTAATTCTTGCACAACTCACCAGTGCATGAAATGCCAGAAAAGATCTTTTCCTACAGCACACAACACCAAACTACCACTTCTCCTGAACTCCATCTTCTACACTCTTCCTCCTCATGCTCTGCCTCTTCTACACTCAAGAGTTACTGCCGGAACAAAACCCAATTTGTTGCAGATGGCTAGCAATTTCCCATGTACAGGCAAGAAGTTATGTAATGCATAACTCTTGCTGTGCTCCCTTGCCTTAGTAAAGAGGAGAAGATAATTCATAGAAAAGAACATGGAAATACTGGGACAGATGTAAACATCCCTGACAGGAGGGAGACATGGGCAATGAGAATAATTGAGTGTGTTAGAAAGGACTAAAAGAAGGCAACAGGAAGGGAAAGAATGTATGTCAGATAGGAGGGGAAGGAAGTGACTGTATATCATCTCAGATAAAGTTTCCCAGTTTCTTTAGATTCCTGTTCAGTTACAAAGAAAGCACTTCCACAGAGAGAAAAACCAAGACTCCTTAAGCCCCTGTAGAATAAAATCCCCACACAGCCCCACAGACTTGTCATTCATCCACTGGTAAAGTCTTAGTTCTTCTTTCTTCAGTCTGGTACTACCACCACATCACCCAGTACAAAAACGTTGAGTAACTTTCTTTGTTTCCAACTGCAGTTAAGATATTCAAATGCATTTACAGGTTTGCCTCTATCTTCAGCTTTTCCTCAGCATTTATAGCAGCAAGATCTCAAATGTTGTGTATTTTACATAGCGTAGCATTTGGTATGAAATTAAATTAGAATAGGATTGGATTAACTCAGAGGCTACTGTTTGTCCTAGAAGGCATATTCCTACCCTTCAGACAAATCAGAGGCTGCTCTCTACCTGATAGTATTAGGCCTTAAGTCACAATAAAAACATTCTTTACAAAAATAGCTGAAGTAAAAGCTTTTTGTAACTTGCAAGATTTGCAACAACTGCACATTAAGTGTACATGATTATACAGTTTAAAAAAAAAAAACTCAAAATTGATTTCACTTTGTAATTAATGTTCTATGAACTTTTTTCAGTTATACTGCACTGTAGATTCCAATGGTACATACAAGATGTCACCTTATTCTCTCCAAGAAGGACAGACTTCTCTCCAAAATAAGCAACATTAGATACTTGTAATTGTATCACCAAGAGTTAACAGTGCATATTAAGTACATCTGTTATAAACAGTTTTATCAGTATCAATGACTAAACATTATTTAGAGCAATGGAAATTATTGTGTTAATTATTTTAGTACTCTCCACTTCATATTTGCTATATCAAAGAACTTTGTATGCACATTTACCAAAGAACAAGTGTTCTGCCTGAAGATATTATTTCTGCTGGAAAAGTGTGCCTAGGGAGCCAGAAAGCTCTCTGAAATAATGCTGCTTCTCAGACTGAAGTTTTAATTCTTGTTTATTCTTCAACCCTTTGACATAAACTTCACAATAAACTACCTGCTTGTATGCTACTTGTCTAGGTTCCCCTTTCTCCTATCTCACAGAAGCAGATAATCCTCATGCATCCTAAACATTAGCAACAAAAGTTCTGAAATCATATTTCTTAGGTGATTTTGAACAGAACTTTGTACCCACCAAATAATTCATTAAAGGTTCAGTAGGTTATAACACACTCAAAGCTGACAGGATGCTCAAGATCTGTTTTTATGCTAAGCCAAGCACAAACAGGCATTGAAAAACACTTTCCGTACTACTGAAAAAATTCTGGTAGCATTCAGTCTGCAACTCACCGTTCAGAAAAAAAAAAGATTTCCACCACTACCACACCTACAGCTTTAGTTTTGTTTCTTCATTGGTAAACAATAAATAATATCTCAGGTTGGATATTGGAAAAAACTTCTTCTCCAGAAGGGTGGCCAGGCTCTGGCACAAGCTGCTCAAGGAGGTGGTGACACCATCATCCCTGGAGGTGTTCAAGAAATGCGTAGATGTGCTATTTAGGGATGTGAGTTAGTGGGCTGGTGGTGATACACTGCTAGTTGGACTGTGTGATCTTAATAGCCTTTTCCAACCTTAGTGACTCTATGAGTCTACAATAATCTTTCTATAATCATCTGCTGATTTTCTGGAGGGTAGCAGTTGCCCTCCAAAGAATGAGTTAGAAAAATTTAGAATAAGACAAGAATAAGACAATTTAGAATAAGACAAGTTGAATTCCAGCTCAGACGCTTACAGTCTGGTGAGTATAAATTTATAAAGCCATTGACAACTAATCTCTCAACAGAAGAGAGTGTTTCAGGTTCTCCTAACAAATACACACAATTGCATCTTTAGTCACATGTTCAAAAAACGTCACTTATTCACTGCAGAGACACAGAACACATTTTTCTGTTCTTCTGAAAGCTCTGTGGAAAGTCATGACATGCACATAAGCTTGACTGTCATCAAGTATACTATACACTCTGTGAACAACAGTTTCTCAGCTGTGCACAAAAAAAGGTTAATCCCATTTGATTTCACACTAAATGCTATACTGGCATACAACAGCAAACACCAAAGCTAACAAAAAAGCCAACGCAAACCTTCGAAAGAAAGGCAGCAAAACAGGCAATCAGATAAATACTTTTATTTGATCATCCCTAACTTCAGTGCTGTAAAGTTTGACAGCTTGCACCCCTTTCTCCTTCCCCATAGCCCACAGTTCACGTCCAACAGGACTAGTTCTCCTGGCATAGCAATGAATGCGAAAGGATTTTAGCTCAAGCACTTCCTCCTAGCTGTGACTAAAGGTAACACTTCAGTGCTTGTTGATGATGGATTTGCAAAAGCTAAACTGGTTGGAATGTAATAGTTCATTCCAGACAAGTGCTTCAGGCCAGTATTTCAGCCAGAATTTCTTGCTAGAACAAGTTGTCATTTTCAAGAAATATCAATTATGTTTTCCTCCTCACCTTCTTTCCTCTTTTCCCTCTACCCAGAAGAGTTTGTCTCTTCCATACAGAAGAACAAACACCTATTTTTTGTCCAGTTATAACTGGATGTCCATACACACACTCTGAAGCTTGATGGTGTGAGGTAAATCTCACATGGCTACTGGTGAGACTGGCTTTTGTCTACAAACATCCCCCTAAACTCAGAAAAGCTAAGATTTTTCTCTTTTGTTCTTCAGAGATTCTAATCTACTTCCATTCATTTCCCTTAGAACTAAGCTTCTCAGAAAAATCCATCTCCACAGAATACATGACATCAACATTATTTACCACCCTCTCAGGGAAAAGAACATAGCGAGAAAAAAAAAAAAACACCTGTGTGATCAGCATCACCAAGCAAAGTTGCATTTAAGTTGTACAGGCAATATACTAGTTGATGATTCTTTGCTAGATGTGGGTACCATCATTTTGAGAAGGTTAGGAAGTCAGTGGACCTACAGTTCATCATCTGCATAACAGACTTCATCACTCAGAAAGAATATTTTAATGTTCAGAACATGATCTGAGTAATGCTGCAACACTATGGACATTCACATTCTTTCACTCTTCTCGTTTCTTCTTTCTGCTATTTCTTCCTTCATCCTCTTCCTGCCCTCACACCTGCACTTACCCTGCTCTCCCAAATCTAGCCAAGCACAGGAAAAGGCACACCTCTTAGCCCTTGGTGAGGAGTATCCTGGCTCCATACAGTGTTTCAGCATCCCTTTCCATTTGTAGAAATGTCAGTGGAAGCAGCATTCTAAAAAGCAT